TTGCTACCTATCGATTTCCACATCAAAAAAATGGTTTGCAGCAGCGCTGTTAGACTAAAACCAACAGGCGTCTGGTCGGAACGAACATATGGACATCGTCGGATTCTAGGTACAGTCAGTATAGGATGACATCGGATTATCTGAATCCGTGCATAGACTTCGAAAGAAATTTTCAGACAATATTCCCTTTAAGAAATCAATGAAAGAGGAAAAATTTCGAAGTAAATTACGATATCTCAATATATACAGATAGCTCGAAAATGAACTGTGGAGTAGGAATCTTCGTACCATCTGAAAACATCAATAATTTTCTTAGACTACCTAATGGGGCTACAGTTTTTTAGCTGAAATCCTACCAATTAGAGAAGCTTGTCGGAACATCGTAGGGAACGAGAAAGCTGACAGTTTAACCCGCTCTGATGCCTCCCTGGATGCGTCACTGGCGGCACCGGTTTATATTAGTACCTTAGAAACCATTAAAAGAAGTACCCTCCTCTACTTTCTTAGGACATGTGCGACTTCCAGGTTAATATGGCCCACCTATGATAAAAATAAATTCTCGGAACTCATCAAAAGAGATCACGTGAACACTGCAAGGGTTACTGTAGTTCTTACTGGTCATTGGTGTGTAGAACTCATGCAGAGAATCTGCGCATTCCCCATAATCCTCACTGCAGAAGTTGTAGAAACACGCAGAAGATAAAAACCGTAATACATTTTCTCTGTGAATGCTCTGCTTTAGCGTCCAGAAGATATAGGTTCTTCGGAAAATACTTCTTTGATAGTTTATAAGACTGCTCACCGGTGAAGATGAAAGACCTATTAAATTACCTAAAATAGGCGGGATGGATTTCTGCTTTACTCTTCTATACTAGTGTCAAAGACGGCTTTTATTTTCGTTTATTAAAAAATTTACATTTTTACTTTTAATTAGAGAAAAACTCGCTTTGTTATGCTTTCTTAAAAACTCATTAGCACACTGAACTTAGGTGCGATTCAACTGTCATGTTTGACATATAAAGGTGTTTGGAAAAAACATAAACGTGAAATCGTTTTATTAAGGGTGACAATTCGGCCAATCCTGCTATAAATCGTCCTCGATTTCACAAGCATCAAGCTTCGGAGAATTGTAGCACCACGGTTTCATTCGGTCTGTCGCGAACGTAGAATTGAATTTCCTTTTAGCCAGTTGGATACCTAGGATATCTTTTATTTGGTATCGGTCATTTCCAAGTACATTGACAACGATATATGGACCTCGATATTTCGGCTCCAATTTTCGTGACTCGCCTGTGGCTGACGGTTCGTTTTCAAGCACTACGAGATCACCAACATTGTACAGGAAAGGTTCGGCATGCTTTTCGTCGAAACGGTGCTTCCACTTTGCACGCTCCTCAGCAATATTCTTGACGGCTGGGTTTCGTTTCTCGTTGATTGTAATGGTTGATAATGGGTTTTCCGCGTCGGCATGTACGGCAGCTAACAATCGATTTTGGAGGACATCGCGCACTTGGAAGTCGAACACTAGTTCGTTTGGGCTGAAACCAGAAGTTGCGTTTTTTTGTGAATTCACTGCCCATTGTAAATTCCGTAAGTTCAGATCCCAATTGTTTGGATCTTTGTTCGATGTTCGCAGATATGATAGGATTATCTGGTTAGCTCTCTCAACTTGTCCGTTAGCTCGCGGCGTTCGTACAGCTGTTTTGACATGTTGAATATTATTGTTGTCACAATACTCCTCAAATTGAGTGGATGTAAACGATGTACCGCTATCAGTAACAATCTTTGCAGGTAACCCGAAATAGCTGGACATCTCGTTTAAAACGGCGATTACAGGAGTTGTTTTTGTATTACGTACAGCTTTCACAATCAGAAATTTCGAGAAAGCATCTGAAATAGCCAAAACATAGCTATTACCTCTTTTACTTTTAATGAAACGTCCGAGGTGATCGATGTGAATCAAACGGAAAGGTATCGGTTCAACGTCGTCATAGTGCAGAGTACACTCGCGTTTACCTCCTCGTGATTTGAAATAGCAGCATTCTACACACGCCATTTAGACCAACACTACTTACATCGGTATGCACTTCATGTTCAGCGTTACTGTCGTACAGAGCTAGAACTGGACCGCTACATAGCATATTTATAAGTTTGTCAAATGCATTTTTCTGCTCAACACCCCATACGAACTCTTGTTCTGATTTTCGTAGCAACATCGTGATTGGTTTTGAGATGATTGAGTAATCCTGAACAAATTTGCGGAAAAATGCAGTCAAACCCAAGAAGCGTCGTACTTCTGTTACGTTGGTTGGCTGTTTAAAATTTTTAATTGCAGCTTGTTTTTAATTACCTGGTGCTATTCCATTTTGATCAATAACGTGCCCTAGGTGTATTAGTTCCGTTTTAAGAAATTTGCATTTGGACTTTCTTAGCGTCAAATTGTTCTCTTTTAACAAACAGAGAAATTTTTCTAACCGTTCTATACCCTCTTCTATACTTTTGCTGGGTATAATAACATCATCGAGATAAATTAAAACTTCACCACGGCCCATCGTCGACGCAATCTTATCCATTGTCGCTTGAAAAAGTCCGGGGGCATTAACCACTCCAAATGGCATTCTGTTGTATTCTAAATGACCATCCGTAGTAACGAAAGCTGTATATTGTTTTGAGGACTCTTCAATTTCTATTTGGTGATAGCCCATGCGAAGGTCAAGTGTCGTAAAGAATATGTTACCTGAAAGCTGAGCAAACTGCTCCTCCATATTTGGCATAGGGTAAGGATTTTTAATAGTGATTTTGTTTAGTCCACGATTATCTACGATTATCATCAGAGTCGATGCTTACCATTTTTCTTTTCTACCAGAACCACGGGTAAGGCATACGGTGATGACGAAGGACGTATGATGTCATTTTTAAGCAAATCAAGAACAATGTCCGAAACGATTTTGCGTTTGGCAAATGCTATCCGATATGGTTTTGCCCGAATAGGTACGTCAGTGTTTACTTTAATACTCATTTTGTTGATAACACATTTGCCTAGTTCAGGCATACTTTCTACAAAAACGCCACAGTACGTTGAGAGTAGATCTTTAAGTTGTTTGCGTGCATCCGACGGTATTTCTACCGATGTTTGCAGATCTTCTATATGACATTTGTCTCCCTCTATGATAAGACGTTTACCTTCACGGCACAATACATCACGACCCAGCAAAATATTTTCGGGTATTTTTCCGTCATCCACGATCAACAAATCGGTTATAAATTCGTTATTATCAAATTCTACAACAGCATTTATTTTAGAGGTGCAAATAAATTTTCCATCGGCGAAACCACTCAAAGTTACAGAACAACGCAATATTTTATTTTTAAAATCTTTTGCAAATGTCTCCCGAATTAGAGTGTATGCACTACCAGGATCTATAAATGATCGCGTCGGTTTTTAAATTACTTTTACAACGCAAGCTCATCTCTTTTTTCGCAAGTACTTTCAATTTTGTTAACCGTTGGTCTATTCTCGGCATTGTTTTTCTTACTAGGACAATCGGTCTCCTTATGCGTAGTGCAATTGCATATGGAACAACGCTCTTTACGTTGTGGTTCAGGACACTTGTTTGAATAATGGCCTATTCTAGAGCAATTGAAGCATTTGACTTTTCTAGTCGTCTCGCTTTCCTTATTATGGAGCGTTTGTATCTTAGAATTGTCTCTAAGATCGTGATTAGTATTTACCGGGTATTTAGGTTTTGGTTTTTCGTCAAAGTTCTGAACATCATTATATACAGTATAAATATTTATATCACTTAATAGTTCATTACAGAGAGTGTATTTAATCGAGATTTTCTGCTTTAAGCGTGGCTCATTGATGCCATTAATTATATACCGAGCAGTTGCATTTTCGGGTACGTTTCCACGAGTACCTAAAGACATCATTTTGTAGTAATATTCTTGCGGACTTTCATTAAATTGTCTCTTTGTTTGGGACATTTTGATGTATATGTCTGCTATGTTTTCTGTAGAAGCAAAGTCTTTCAAAAATTTTGTAGCAAATTCCGTCCAAGAAAGAAACACTTCTTGCGAATCAACCCAATATTTTGCGTATCCTTGCAATTTTTGTTGCACTGCAAATACTAATGTTTGATCGTCCCAACGATATGTAGTTCGTAACATATCGATGCGTTTTATGAACTGATTTGGCATAAGAGATTTGTCGCTTGACGGATTGAACTCAGGCAAAAGGGTTACAATCTCTCTAACGTTTCTATAAGGATTTTGCGAGTATGGTGTGCTGTGTCCGGTCTTCGGTGGGCGAAGTAACCTTGAAGTGAACGTGGAGCGGTGACATGGTGGCCAGCCCGGTATGCTCGCCGGTTTTGGGGGTGGTTCTTCTCACGCTCAGCAACAATCGCGGACATCAACAAAAATTCATGTCACCTGTTGAGGTTTCCTGATATTGATCTTTCCCTTTACCTTTCACATTAGCTGGCTGATTCATTTCACTACTTTCCATTAACAACAAGTGGTCTATTTTGCTGTCAAAACTCAGTGATCTTTGGATACTATTGTTTCCAAAATCTTTTTCAGCTTGAGTTATTTTCCCTATTTTTGGCCTTCTATTTGTACCTGAACTAACTAACTGAGCCTGCTCACTACTACGTGCTTGTGCAGTTTTGTCAGGTACCGCTTCTAAATCGGTTACTTGTGCTGATTTCGTAGCTTTTCGTATTTTGGACCTAGTTCCGGTACTACTTGCTAACATGTCTATTAACTCTTCTGCTGGTTTGAGCTCCATAGGAACTATTTACCACTCTTACTTAAATTTGTTGTTATCGGTAGAACTTACTTGTCTATTACTTGTAGAATGGTACAAAAAACAAATCCTGTATGTTCACCTAAGGTGATTGCATATTTAACCTACTTAAATAATTGCAAAAAAAAAATCAATCCAAAATAAAAAAAATTTTTTTTTTTTTATATATAATTATTATATTATTAATTTAATAATAAAAAAAAATTCAATAAAAATAAAAAAATAAGACAAATAAATATAATTTAAATTTGGCGTTTATTGGTGGATTTTCAGTGCCTTGTTTTAGGGAAAAATAGAATTCATTGTTATATAGGTGCAATGTTGTCGTCACGTTCGTCCAACTGTCCATCTCTTACTCTCAACATCTCAAACATTCAATTAGTATCACGCCTCAATTTAATACCGATCCCTAATAGAAAATGTATGCGTGATACCAATTAACAGTAAGCCTCACAAACCTACAGAAAAATTCTATTGTTTGGTAGCATTAACTGTTTCATTCGTACTTGTTCAGACCCATACTTCATTCACTCATACCCGCTTTCTATTATTTACCCACACAATAGGTATGTTACCTCAAACAGAACTCTACTTGAATCTTTGTTGTAGCAACCATTCAAGTTGTCTTTGTCTCTACTGTCTGCATTGCCACTTGTTGAGGCAACCATCTCTGGTCCGCTATTCATCGGTCTATTCTATCAACTATATATATATATAAATAATATCTTTTTAAAAAAAAATTTTTAAAACTTTTCAAAACCTCCTCTCTTTTATATATATATATGTCTATTAAATTATTATGGATTGTATAGATATATCTATAAAATTATTATTTTGTTATTTATTACGTCTTTTAATTCGGTCCTGTCTTCGTATTAGTGTCTCGTTGGGCGCCATTTCTATCATTAGCAGAATTAAAAAAGGAATGTATTAGGGCCGAGAAAATGCTAAGGGAAAACAAGCTCCGAGGTAGGCAGATTAGTGAGATCGTAAATGAAGAAGTAGATAACGCTGAAGTAGACAAACATTCACAATAGGACTTAGAAGCGTTCAGTTCTCCACAGAACAGACAAGGCGAAAATCAACAGCGTGGGCATTTACAACAGAGAAATAAGGGGCAAGACACGCTTGAAGGTAGAATTGAAACCCGTCACCACGAGACAACAATCACGAGCAACCATGATGCAGATACCATGTGTCCATCTTCATTCCACTTAAATTTGTGTTATGCTTGTGGAATGCCATGCGATTTTTACATCATAAATGATAATATGGAACAAGGGTCAAGGTGTAGGTCATCTTTCCATGACATGTCGTGCTTTTTATGTAAAGAAAGCATATCCTATTGCAGATATAACAAGAGAGAGGGAAACGGCTGGAGGACAGTGGCACCCGGGGCCCAGTGTCGTCAGAGGCAAGACCCGGAACGACGGTACAAATCATAAAGCGAAACCAATCCTTGTTAGCAAATTCAGTAGCAAACATCAATAAAACTAAACCAAAATCTTTACACCAACGGAAGATAGAGTATGAAATAATAAAGGAAAACATTTTTAATGAAGAATTAATGAAATCGAGACACAATAAGAGAAACTTTAGGAAAATACAAATTTTTCGAAGAAGACAGCAATTAGTAAAGGCATGTTTGAGGAAGGTCATAGGCACGATAGTAACATTGGAAGGAGATAATAGGATGTACATTAGGACCAAAATCAATGACGAAGGTAGTAGTAGCGCTATTGGATTCAGGAGCAATGGCAAACTGCATAGGACAAGGAGCGTTGGACTTTTTAAAGAAGAAACCTAGTAAGCTAATAAGGGTAAAAGGTAAATCTATTAAAACAGCCAACGGCGGCGAAACCCCGATAGTAGGTGTAGTAACTTTACCAGTCCTTTGGGAGGAAGAAACAAAAGGCATGGAATTTTTAGTGCCTTCATTGCAGCAGCAATTCTACTTAGGTATCGATTTTTGGAAAGTGTTCGACATACCAATAATCAGCAAGCGGACACCCAAAAATTACCTTGGGGTGGCAGTGTCATCAGATTTACTGGTCACGTCAAAACAGCACGAAATGTGTAGGAAGCAAATAAGCATACTAGAAAAGGTTGTTAAAGAGTTTCCATCGTTTAATGAGTTAGGTCTAGGAAGCACAACAGTAGAAAGTCATACGATAGAGGTAATGGATGAACATATACCTGTAAAATAGCGGCACTATCCGATTTCTCCGTTTGTCCAGAAATTAATGTACGACGAATTAGACAGAATGCTGAGCTTAGGGGTGATTGAAGAAAGCAATAGCAGTTGGAACTCTCCGGTAACACTGGTAACGAAAGAAACCAAAAACAGGCTGTGCTTGAATGCCCGGAAAGTCAATGAGCGCACAATCAAGGACGCATATCCGTTGCCTCATATTGAAGAAATCTTGAGCAGACTACAAGACACCAGGTACATTTCTGCAATCGATTTAAAAGATGCGTTCTTGCAGATTCTGCTGGAAAAAAGATCCAGAGAAAAGGCAGCGTTTACAGTCCCGGGAAGACCCCTATATCAATTCTCTGTGATGCCATTCGGGTTATGTAATGCGGCGCAACGCATGTGCAGACTCATGGACAAGGTCATTCCAGCAGCGCTTCGAGAACGGGTGTTTGTATATCTAGACGATCTATTGGTGTGCTCAGAAGACTTTGAAGGATACATGCGACTATTACAGCAAGTGGCTGGGTGTCTGAGCAAAGCTAACCTGATAATTAATGTTCAAAATAGTAAGTTTTGTCATACTGAAGTTAGATATCTATGGTGCATTGTAGGGAATGGGACAATACGAACTGATCCGGCAAAAGTAGAAGCGATGAATATTTTTCCTGAGCCAAAGACAGCGAGGCAACTTAGACGCTTTCTTGGAATGACAGGATGGTATAGAAGATTCATAAGAGATTACACCACTATTGCAGCACCACTACACAATTGCCTGACTAAAAATAACCTAATTAAATTCGCTCTAACCAACGAAGCAAGAATAGCGTTTGAGAGATTGAAAGAAAGTCTTACGACAGCACCAGTACTTACGAATCCGAACTTCCAAGAACGTTTTTATATCCAATGTGACGCTTCTAAAGACGGAGTGGGAGGAGTGTTATTCCAAGTCAATACTGCTGGAGAGGAGCAACCGATAGCATATATGTCGTCTAAACTAAACAAAGCTCAAAAGAATTATAGTGTGACAGAACTGGAATGTTATGCTGCAGTACTCAGTGTAAAAAAATTTAGAGCGTATGTTGAAGGACTTCCATTTACGGTCATAACGGACCATGCGAGTCTCAAATGGTTGATGAACCAGCGTGATTTATCAGGCAGACTAGCGAGATGGAGCTCGAAACTACAGGCATTTGACTTCAATATAGAACATAGGAAAGGTAATCAAAACAATGTTCCCGATACACTATCAAGGATGTTTGTTGACGAGATAACACAAGACACTCGCAATCTAGATGTTGATTTGCAGTCACCTTTCTTTGTAACTGATGAATATAAGGCACTCATCGAAATGGTGACCAAAGAACAACAACGCTTACCTGACCTGTGTAACTCAGAGGGTTATGTGTATAAAAGGACAGATTTTCGATGTGGCGACCCACTACAAGAGGATAGTACTTGGAAATTATGGGTTCCATCTGAATTGCGATGGTCATTAGCAGAACAAGTACACGTATCACCATCATCTGGACACGGAGGGGTGTAAAAGACCTTGGCAAAATTAAAGGTAAAATATTTCTGGCCAGGAATGGTTGGTGACGTTCAAACACTGATAAAAGAATGCGAAATTTGTAATACTTCTAAGGTGTCAAATAGAATGAGAAAACCACTCATGGGAATGCAAACCATAACCGAAAAACCATTCCAATATCTGTATGTGGATTTCATGGGACCTTACCCTAGGACTAGCACAGGTAATACGGTGATTTTTGTAGGGCTAGACCACTTCTCAAAATACGTATTTCTTTCTTGCAAAAATATGGAGTGAAACACATCCGAACTAGATTTTATTCTCCCCAAGCCAATGCTGCCGAACGAGTAAATCAGTCAGTACTTCAGATCGTTCGTTCTTATATACAAGAAAACCAACGTAATTGGGATCAGTGTGTAAGTGAGGCAGCATTTGCACTCAGAAGTGTAAAACACAGCTCGATAGGTATGAAACTATATATGGCCGTGTTTGGGTCACATATGATTCAGCATGGCGCAGTATATGAGATAATGAGGAAGCTGAGCTCCATACAACAATCCGAATTTGAAATATTAGAAGCGACAGACAAACAACTATTGATGCGAGAGAAACTGACAGCAGAATTGAAAGCAGATCACCAGAGATCTGGAAGAGTGTATAATCAACGAAAAAAGGAAATTCAGTTTAGAGCGGGGCAAGTAGTATAGACGCAACTTCAGACAAAGTAAACAAACTGATGGTTATAACGCGAAGTTAGGAAAGAAAAACGTGAAGTGCGTGATTTTAAAGGTAATAGGTTCTTCGCTATATGAGTTAGGAAACATGAATGGGGTTAGCATCAGGGTATACCACGCGAAGGACATCTTTTGTCAGTAAGGAGTAGAAATCGGCTCATAACAATTAAATGCCTGGCTAGATCAGTCGGTAAGGGATGAGACTCTGTAACTCAGGGTATGGGTCGAGGCCACACGTTGTACAAGCAAACAACAGTCTACCAGTCTATTGCTTTTACGAGCCCGTTCCATGCCTGTTGTGTAGGCCTGGGTAGGAGTAAACGATTAGTTAATAAAACAACGTGAATATTAATGACGTTAACGTACCTTGAACTTTATGTAGCTTCCAGGGGTACTTCAATTATATTTTTTTTTGGGTTGTAATTATATCGCCACCAATAGTATTCCTCTTGCTCATTAAAAGAATTTCTGTTTATTAAATTCACAACGTGCATCCACGTTCACTTCAAGGTTACTTCGCCCA